AACAACAACAACAACAACAACAGCAAACTACCAGTTTATTAGTTGGCATGGAACTTTTTCCAAGTCATAACAATAGCTTATATGTCAGAATAGAACTCTACTGCATTTGATTATCAATTGCTGATATTTTGGAAATAGATCACAATGCTTGTCTTTAGAAAGCATCTATGTGAACTTAACCATTTAATCTTTCTGTAAGCAATTGGTTCTATTAATCATCTGTGCCATGTTCAGATTCTGTGTATCAGCTAGGAACTTTCAGAACTGATTTAAGCTGGTAGGAAAATCAGAATGACAGGAAGTAACATATAATTGATTTTTTTCTCCTGTTGCAACCATAATGAAATATTGTTCTATATATTACAAATTTTTTTATTATATGTTTTTGTTATTGTTGTTGATTGCCTTTGAGTCGAGCATGACACATCGTGACCCTATGAACAAAAGGCCTGAAGCCCCTCTACAAATATCAACATTTATCAAAGTTAATAGAGTTTCTGGAGGCATATTGTTTAGGAAGTGGAAATAGAAAATATACGTTGATAGTCTCTACCCCATCATTTTCTTTTTTTCTGTGTGTACTGACAAATCAGATCTGATTGGCACAGGAGGAGATTGCCCCTCCTTCTCCAGTGGAGCATCTGGTGGGTTCGAACTGTGTGCCTTTGGGATTTTATTGATAGTCTCTAACTACTACATACGCAAAATACAGTGAACCAAATTTAAAACAGTATATTTGTGTGTCTGTGTATCTGTGTACTTCTTACTTTTATTAATATGTACTGTGTATATTCTGTATTGCAGCATGCAGTTTGCTTACATCATTATATCTTCCCATTTTTATGTGATATTTTCAATCCCCACAGACAAAGATTGGGTTTATAAAGGTACTACTATTTTTTTTGTTTGCTTGTTTTTTGTTCTTTTAAAAAATTTTATTTCATTATTTTTTGTGTGTGCCGTCAAATCAGATCTGACTGGTGCAGGAGGAGACTGTTCCTCCTTCTCCAGCAGAGCATCTGGTGGATTCGAACCTTGTATCTCTGAGATTGCAGTTGCAGCTTCTTGCCACTAGGCCTCC